CCTCTGTATGCCAGACAAGTTGGAGTACTAGTATAAGGGGACACACACAACACACTTTAGAGTAGGACCAACTACATTTGGGTGACCTTTTCCTTAATAGGAAAAGATTCACAAAATGACTGAGGAAATGGTGTGACTGAATTAGATGGGGCACTTCGGTGAAAAAGATAGTTTAAACTATCCAACCCCTGGGAAGAGCTACAGAGAGTGGCGGTCAAATGTTGACCAGCAAGCTGCTTGTGAGAGGGGTGGACTTTGGGTGGGTGGGTTTGTGTGTATGTGTGTGTGACAACGGAAACCATGGGAGTACAGATGTTCTGATGGGAAAGACATAGGAGATAAAAACAAGAATCACGTTTCTATCCCAAGCATGATTTATGAAGATTAGCCAGTGAAGGATACAGCAAAGAAGAAAACAGTGATTGTGGTGAGAGGACAAGGAAAGGTCACCATCCCAGAGGCCAGCGGGAAATGTTCTGAGAAAACCACAAGGACTTGACAAAGCCAAGGACCAAATGCGCCAGTGCAGGGGTGTAAAAGGCCAGCAGGGACATGCAGAAGGCACCGAAGCAGGGGCAGAATTGGGATTGTAAGGGCTGGTCAGCAAGGCCAAACAGAAGGACTGAAGCTTTCAAATGTACACTGTTCTAAATATCTGTTGGAAAAGTCAATGGAAGAGACTCACACCACTGCAGATGGGCCTCAGCCCTCAGCGTTACCTGTTTTCAGCAATTAAGTTCCCAAAACCCATAATAAGATTTAATATTCCCTTTGTACAAAGGAAGTAACTGAGGCTAAGCAATATTCCCACTTACTAGTGCTATCAAGTGATAAAGTGGGGATCGAAGTTTAGGTATGACTGAAGACCCATCCTCTTTCCTTGGACTTCGGCTAATATTTCAGAGGGTGTACCTGACACTAAGTGGAGGTTGTCAGTAAGAGTTAATCAATTTGGTTCTTTATTTGGCTGTATCTAATGTTGACTTTGGAGTCAGCATAATTAAATTGTTGGAAAGCAGAGGAAGACATAGCAAACCACCCCTAATGCTACCACAATTTTAATTAAATCACACAGTTGTCCCCAACATTCATTGAGGATTGGACCCAGGACCCTTACAGAGATCAAAATCCACAAGTGCTCAGATGCCTTATGCAAGATAGCATAGTATTTATATATAACCTACTTATATCCTCCTGTGTATTCTACATCACTTCCAATTACTATTAATTTCCAATTCAATTTAAATTCTATGCAAATACTTGTTATCTGGTGGTGGTTAGAGAATAAGTACAGGAAAGGAAAGTTCTGTATATTCTCAGTACAGATGAGAACCTTTCTTAATGTTTTCAATCTTGGGTGGTTGACATGCATCCATATATGGTTAACACTAGATAGATAGATACATAGATAGATAGCTTTAAAAGCTACTGTTTCTTACATTTGAGGTATGGAAATAGTGAACAGAGAACTCTCATCCACTGGCTCAGTCTCCAAACACCTGCTATGCCTAGGGATGGGTTAGAACTGGGCCTAGAGCCAAAAGCCAAGAGCTCAGTCCAGTTCTTGTACATGGGTGGCAGAGGCCTGAGTATCTAAGACATCATCTCCTGTCTGCATTATCAGAAAGCTGGAATCAGGAACTGGATCTGGGAACTAAACCCAGGCGCTTCTGTGGGAGTCACAGTGCTCTCTACTGCTAGGTCAAGTGCCTGTCCCTGGAACTCACTTAATATTGAGGGGCAGGAGAGTGGAATCCCAGCTTCACATCTTTGGGGTGTCTTAGATTACCTTCTAGTAATCTAATAGTACCCACCTATGGGTTATTGAGATGATTACAATGGGTAGCACATGCCAGACATTCAAAATAAAATTTGTCAAATATTTTATCATATAGTCTTCATAACTAAAATTTTCCTTTATGGTACAGCATTTTATTGAATTAACATAGAAAGGTCACTCATCTGGTTTCCTAATTTTGAAACCTTAAGTTACTCCGAACTCTCCAGGATCACAGACAGCTTTGCAAATGCATACATAGGTCTTGTCCAAATCTAAACGTACGTCCCTGGGACAGAGTGGGAGAAGTACGAAGAGGCATGGGAGGGTCATGGCTTTCAAGTCAGACTGTTAAACTGTGTTGAGAAAGTTTTTGGAGGGGGATTGGAAATGAGCCAAAAGAGAAGCAGCAATGGAATGTATATGACTGCATGCATGCAGTTATGTCTGTATACACGTGTGGATGGCTAGCTAGGAACACACAAGTAAAAGGCAGAATCTCTGAGGGATTACTTTTTACCTTGAGGTTAAGTTCTAGAATTGGAGAAAAACCCTCTGCATTTGCATAGGTGAAGCTACAAAATGGGCAGTGCTTTGGAGGCCTGTAAATCGGTGAAGGGGAGTTGTTCAAAAACAAGCTGGCTAGCTTGGCTCTACTTGAAAAGCACCGAGTAAGTTTACTTCTTGGAGAGGTGGATGACGCAGGTATACACTACATGCTGGAATCATGGTAAAAAACAAAAAATCAGAGATGAAACAGAGCAATCTAATGCTCTGACGGCCACCACACTACCCCTGGTTACTTTTCAATTATTAAAAAAAAATAGCAAATTTAAAAAATGCAGTGTTTTGGTAAGTGCATATGCTGTGGAATGCTCATGATCTGAACTTTCAGGGTCTCTTGCTCATGGTTATCCTCAAGAGGCTAAAGGACCAAGGTTACACCTTCCAGACTGTTTCCTCTTCAGAGACATCAAATCTGAAAGATGCTACCTTAGGTCTGCATCCTCTTCCCCTCTTCAGCTGTGCTGTAGATGAGTAGGATCGTTGTGAGGTCACTACCCATGGCCTTCACTCACTCTCTTCCCATTCTTTCCTGGAGACAGGCTTTTGTTTCGTCTACCAACACTGCTCTCAATATGATCAGCAGTGAGCCATGGTTTGTGGATGTCAATGATTAAACTTCCAGTCTTCTATTTATTATCTGCCCGTCTTCCTCTTTGAAACTTGCCGGGCTTCCAAGACCTCAAACTTCCTTTGTTTCTCTTTCATTTTTCTGGTTCCTTGTCTGCTTTCATCTTCCTATCCTCTAGACACTTTCAAGCTACAGGGTCCACACTCTATCCTCACTTGCTACCTCTGCTGTCACCTGCCATGTAGGTCATCTGTGGGACCAATGATACCCACAATTGTATGGTTATCCCGGACATCCTACCTGAATTGTGGACCCACAAACCCAACTGCTTCTCTGATATTTCCCTTTTGCTATCTAACAAGCAGTTCAATCTTTAACAAGTCCAACTGGAACCTGGGATAACATTTCCAAAGTTTCTTTCTTTTTCACCTCAGTATACTGGCAAGAGCAGTCTTCCAGCTTCTGAGGCTAAACATCCCTGACACTTCTATAATTTCATAACCCACTTCTAATGATAGAATTTTAAAAACCATTTCTATTGTCAAAACACACTGAATCAATCTGCTTCTTAGCCCCACCTCCTATCTCATGCAACACACTACTCCAGAAGTCACTCATGTCTCGAGTGAAGGGAACAGCACCCCCTCAAGCCCAGGTGTGCTGGCTCTGGCATCACTTTATTTCAAACCAACATCATAATTCCCAACCTTGATTATCACAGTGGTTCCCCAACTGGTCTTCCAGGTTTTAGCCTTGCCCACTTACTGTCCATTCTCAACATGGAGGTCAAGTAACTCCAGTCGCTCTTGTCCTGAGACCCTTCCACTCTTTCATAAGCTTCTCACTAACAACCCATGTTATTCAGAGTCCTTAGAAATGACCCATAGCCATGTCCAGTTTTGTTCCAGATAAATGACTGTACTTGCAATTCCATCTATATGGTTTTCTTCACTAGTTCCTCTAGGTCTTCACATAATGTCAAAATTTCGAGGAGAACTTATCTGATCCTGCAATTAAAACTGCACCTCCTGCCCATTTGCAACTCAGCTCCATCCCTTGCTTTAAAATTCCTCTTAGCAATTACCAACGTGTAATATATCTCCTATTTTACCTATGGAACGTCATTAGAGTCTGTTTCAGTAGAAGATATGCTCCACAAAAGTATACTCCAGGTCTAAAACATTGGCTAGCGCACAGAAGGCATGTATTAATGTATATTTCTTGTGAATTTTTCTTTCTTTTTCTTTCTTTCTCTCTCTTTTCTTTTCATTCTCTCTCCCTCCCTCCCTTTCTTTCTCTCTTTCCTTTTTTTCTTTGTTTGCTACAGAATCAAATATTTGGTCAGAATCTGAAGATCGTGAATGAGACAGAGATGGGGTTGAAAGAATTAGATAAACTAAAATTAGAAGGCTAAAACAAGTGGAAAGCTAAGTAGCAAGCTAATTCTTTAAGAGGTCATCTAAATGCCCGACATTGTTCTATTCCTGGGCTCTCAAAGGCTGGAATTTCAAGATTCACGGAATATGACAGAAAAGATCATCTTGCAGATGGGGAAGCTGTTCTAAGTTGCATTGACAGGGTTTGAAATTATTCATTGTGATAAAGATAGGGTTCACTGAGCTCACTTATGCTACCACGGAACACAATCTTGCAAAGTGGCAACTAGCCTAGAGGCAGATCCTTCCACATTAACAAAAAAAAAAAAAAAAAAAAAAGAAAAAGAAAAAGAAAAAAGCTGAGTCTGGAATTAGGACCACCCTTCCAAGCCTTTGTCAATAAACATCTAAGCACACTCTAAGGAATCCAGGTACTTTTCCAGTTTTATTGTTAGCACCCAGTAAACCTGAGATGCTATCCCTGATGGAGAAAAAAATGTATGAATGGGCTAACATGACGTGGAAGAGAATTTTCAACGGAAATACACATTCTTTTCAAGCTATTGTTCCAAACCTTAGGTAGTTTATTGCATTCAACTTCCTTGGCAGATAAGCAAATCACAGGCCAAATTAAAAAAAAAAAATAAGCTAGTAGAGTTAGTCTCATTCCTCAGTGGCTAAAAGTACATATTTTACAGCAATGTTCACTTACCACAGGACCATCTTGATTTTCATTGAGCTCAGAAAGTTTCGTACTGGATTTCTGTCGTTTGGGTTTGCTCCTTTCTCCAGTGTAACCCGAAGTGCTTTCATGTAGTTTTTCTACTTCCTGAGTGTTCAAAATACAGTCATCGAGGTTGCTGAATCCAGAAGGAATATTTTCTTTGTTGATGAGCCCCCTTGAATTGAAGGAAAAATAGTGTTTAATTTCATTTCCAAAAGGCGAAAGGGAGGTTTGTTGATACTGCCACCTGGGTCACATCATTTATATGGAAAGTCCAAAGAATGTTCAGTGATTCCTTGACCAAACCTGAGTGCAGTGCCACTCCTGGGGCTGCTTGGTGCCAAACAAATCACATTACAAGGGAAACAATTCCTAGAGGCATAGTGGCAAGGGCTGTGTTCCCACCCACAAACAGCTTTTCTATTTTACCCAAAGTAATTTATATCCAAGCAGGAAGAACAGTACAAATTTACAGTGAAAATTTGCATTACTCACAGATATGTGTGTGTGTGTGTAGCAATATTACAAATTAATGGAATATAAGGAGAAAAGAGAATACAGTGTCTTCTCTAGAGGAGAATACTGATTTCCCCCGATGCTAAAGACAGTATAAGTAGAGCATAAATGCATTACTGTTTGAATCACACTGAATCAGATAGGTTTGGTAGAAATCATTTGGAACTAATAAAACCATGGAATACAAAGCATTCTAATTAAAATTTGGATTTGTCAGTTACCAGGACAAGGGTATTCTGAGAATTAAGTGTATCACGTAGAAACCTTTTATGATTTAATTTTAGAAGTATATATAAAAATCATAATTACATATTTTAATTCAGTTAATGCTCTCAATGGTTTTAAGCATTTTATACATTTTTATCACAAGGTTTTGAAAAATAAATTATTTAGCAAACTGTTTTTTAAACTATATCATATAACAAATCAAACCTTTAACATAGCACTAAACCCTGGTTAAAAAAAGGAACAAAACTACTGAAGGACATTTTACTCTCTCACGTGGCAGCACTGAGTTAATGTATCTCAAAGCTATGTCTTGAATTAACTGAGCTCAAAACATTAAAAATAGATACCTTTTTTTTTTTACTATTAACTCAACCCTTTCAAAAAATGAAAGCCAACATTAAATATTTATCTTGTAATTTATATTCCTGTCCGCAGGCGGGCTATAACGGAAGTAAAATTATGACTTAAATACTATCATAATATTTCCACAGTTATACTAATCTTTGGTAATTTTTAATGCAATATTCAATTTCATCTTATTATCTGCAACTTTTCAGTGTGGAGAAAAACATACATTTGGTAAAAATCATATAAAAGAAGTATGCACATGTTTAAGCATTATCCCAGGTATAAAATACCAGAAGGCAGGTGGAGGCTGCTGGGGACTAACACGTGAGCACATGCTGCCAGTACACGCTCCTCAAGCCCGCTCCTCCATGAGCTGCCGGAGTTTGTTCTTGAACTCAAAATAATTGGTTTTACTCCTTAAATTCTGTCTTCCTATTATTCCTCATGTTTTCCCTCCATTTTTGGCTTCCTCAATTGACTGTATTTATAATACAACTTTGAAGGGGGTAATTAAGGTTACATTGGGTCATAAGGCTGGGCACCTAACACAACATGAGCACTATCTCATAAGGAGAGAGAAAGACAGGTGCACAGGGCAGAAGTCATACAAGGGCATTGTGAGAAGACAGTCATGTGCAAGCTAAGCAGAGATGGAATCCTTCCACAAACACCTTGCTGGCACCTCCTCTTGGGTTCCCAGCCTCTAGAACAGCTGTAAGTTAAAACTTAGACATATATATTATATAAAAGATATAGATATGGCATATTTGGGAGGCATGGCCTAGCAGCTAAAGTCCTTGCCTTGAACACCCCAGAACCCCATATGGGCACTGGTTCTAATCCCGGCAGCTCCACTTCCCATCCAGCTCCCTGCTTGTGGCCTGGGAAAGCAGTGGAGGATGGCCCAAAGCCTTGGGACCCTGCACCCGTGTGGGATACCTGGAAGAAGTTCCTGGATCCTGGCTTCGGATCAGCATAGCATGGGCCATTTCACTCACCTGGGGAGTGAATCATCGGACGGAAGATCTTCCTCTCTGTCTCTCCTCCTCTCTGTATATCTGACTTTCCAATAAATAAATAAATCTTAAAAAAATAAAAAGAAAGTGAAGGCTAGCCCAAGGCTGCTGCTTGTAGCAGGGCACTCAGTCCAGGTTTCCCTGCTGGGTGGCAGGAACCCTGAGCCATCCTCATCCTCGCCTCCCAGAGTCTGCAGGAGCAGAACTTTGGAGTCAGAAGCAAGGCTCAGCTATGGAAACCACAGTGATGTGAGCTGAGCAGTGTCTTGTCTCAGGCCTCTCATTTGAACTGCCTTGAGATTCCTCTGCAGAAATCTGGGGTTCTGATAATACAGAACCACTATTAGTCACCATCCTAACATATGCTTTTGACCTTGGCGGTGGCGGTTTAACATAATATATCTTAGTTTTGTCACAAAGCAACATTGAGATCAATTTTCTAATTTATTATCTTCTGAAAGACAGAGTATTTTCACTTGGAAGCTGCTTTCCTTTTAAAAATATTTATGTGTTTTTTTCAAACATACTCAGAAGTGAAGAGAAGAGCACAACAAGCGTACATACATCATTCAGCAACACTGCACAACTTGCCCATACACCAGCAGGTAGTGATTCAAAAAGGTGAACTCAAGTAAAGCTTTAATATAAGAAGCATATTCTTGGAACTTTCACGTTTTTGTTGTAGCAATAACAATGAGTAGCTGTATTTCCTCCAAAATTTGGACAAATAACAATGTACCAAGATTAACTGAAGTATTTATAGTCTTCGTCTATCTTTAGTATTGGTTATTTTAAAATTCCGTCCTGACGATTTCAGTTAAATTTACCAACTCTTTTATCTCACCTTGAAATGGCCATCATGGACTTCAAGGGAGGAGCGGGGAAGAGGGAGAGAGAGGGAGTGAAAAGAGAGACTGAAAAAAGAGAGATATTCCATCCACTGTATTACTCCCCAGTCTCAATGGTTGGGGATTTGCCAGGTCAAGTACTTGGGCCATTTTCTTTTATCTTCCCAGGTGCATTAGCAGGAGTTGGACTGGAGTGTCCAAGTATTGGCTTAACTTATTATATCACAATGCTAGCTAAATTTGCTGCAACTCTAAGTTGTTAGAGGCAAAATAATAACCCAAACCAACTTCTGTTTTTCCAAATGCTTCATGTATTCCAGAAAGTCAACAGCCTTGTATATAAGTCCAGTCATTTCTTCAGCAAAGCCCAAGGAAACTCTTAGGTAAATGAATCACCTCTGCAGAAGCAGGTACTGTGGACAACTTATTTTCTACAGTCCCTAACAAACGTTCTTTTTAAAAAAGATTTATTATTTTTATTGCAAAGTCAGATATACAAAGAGGAGGAGAGACAGAGAGGAAGATCATCAGTCTGCTGATTCACTCCCCAAGCACCTGCAATGGGCGGTGCTGTGTTCCAATCCAAAGCCAGGAGCCAGGAACTTCCTCCAGGTCTCCCACGTGGGTACAGAATCCCAAGGTTTTAGGCCATCCTCCACTGCTTTCCCGGGCCACAATCAGGGAGCTTATGGGAAGCACGGCTGCTGGGATTAGAACCTGCACCCATACGGGATCCTGGCAGGTTCAAGGTGAGGATTTTAGCTGCTAGGCCATGAAGTTGGCCCTAACAAACATACTTGATCTACTTACAAGTTACGATCCTTAAAGAATTTCCTAGGGAGCTATTAGAGAGGGCTTTGATAGTGGTATTTCAAAATCACTGATAGAAAGAACATTGAAGAGAGATCTGAGCCCACAGGGAAGATGCTGGTAGAATCAGCCAAGCTGGAAAAGTATCAAAACAAAAGGCATCTTAGGGATAGAACAGAGCTGGAAGGTGAGTGAAAGGAAGAGTACCCACACCAAGGTGGGGAAACAGGGGTCAGGGAAAGGACAACTGAGCAGTGATCCAGCCAAACCAGACGTAAGTAATAGACATGGAGCCTGGAGAGATGAGGCCCTTGCTCTTGCAAACACTTGAATCAGCATGGGCTTGGTGTGGAAGACATGGCTAGCATTTCAGGTCAGGATTGGGAGACAGGGCAGGGAGGTGTCTGATGACTAGGAGGAAAACAAGAAGCATCTGATGGATTTCTGAAGACCTAGACTGTCTCAAGGAAAATGAGCATGGTGAGACAATGAAGTTACTCCACTATACAGGAAAGTATCCTAATGGCCTATGTACATAAAATACCCCAAGATTTGCTTCCTCCCCTAGTTGTCATTTCATCAGGATGAGAGATCAGAATGAGCAGTAAAGGGAATAGCAGAAAAGAATAATGAAGAAAAAGACTAGAGTGGCATGTGTATAATAGTATTTAGATGATCCTTTAGCCTCCTACCAGTCTCCATCTCTTTTTGTTCTGGCTTTCCTGTCAAAACAATCAAGAAAATTTATGCTAGATGCATCCCTGGTCTTGAAAAACTCTATTTCAAACATTTCCAAGAGTGTTAGCTTATGCTCTGTATTTTTGGGACTTCATTTCATCATTCTGTATTCTCACTCTCAGGCTCATGACCACGCCCCCCTTCCCTGGCTATCCCTCTGTTCAAACAAAGCAATGGAGAGTGAATGGTGACACACAGAGGATAGGTTAAATATGCAGAGTGCTGCCAAATGTTAATCATTCAAATGAGGCAGCAGATAAAATGGGCATACACAAATGAATTCTCTAACCTCTTAATGCTTTCTATAAACCCCAGAGTAGCTAATTTAAAAAATAAATATCTTCAGTATCACAGCATGTCTATGTTATAAATGGAATATTACAACTATTCCTTCAAACCACTCCTTTTTGATAGTACTGCGCATGTCTCTTGTGAAATCAGTGGGTTCTATCACTGCTTCTGTTTATTTCTATAATTATTACTTGTTAGGTTAGCCTTTAGACATATGGAGCATTGGATCATATTATGTATTCTGTGCTTTCCTTCCAGCAGGAAAAAAAACCCCTATATTTCTTTCCCCATAAAGCGTTTGAAGTGAAGTATGAGGACAAGTGAAAAAGAATGAGGGGAACAAGGTGAGGGGAACAAGGGTCTAATTTAGACTTTGACATTTAATAAGTTCATAGTAATAACTATAGAGACTGCATGCCTCAGTGAATCAAAATTAAGTTGAGACTTTCAGAGACAATAATACAAATATTGTCTTTTTTGTGTAAGTTCATTTTCTCTGGCAATTTAAATCATAGTTACTAAATAACCTGAATGCTCACTGTTCATTTGTATTTTACCAAACCCTTTAAGAAAGGACAGAGCTCTCTGTAATACTCTCCTTGCATGTAAGTGCCTTCAAATTCATCATTACTACAAAAACGAACCTATGTTTTTCCTCTTTTGATTATATTTATCTTAATTTTTCCAATATTAGTATATAACCAAGCTTTACAGTACTATAGTGACATTTCAGAATTTAATTAGGTCAATAGAATGGGAAACTCTGCTGACTCTTAAATAAGTCTAACATTCAAATTCATGTGGTCTGCCAAGGAAAAGGAAGCCCCTTCACAGACACCCTTCTCCTCCCTCAAACCTGACAAAGCTGACACAGTCCTGCACTGGGGGTGGGCTGCTACATCAGGATGAAAGTGGATTGTTTATCCACAGTGAGTTTCCTAATGTTAGCTAAGTTTCAAACAACCAGAATGAATTCCCAAAGTTTTAACCCAAGTCCTGAAACAACAGAGACTTTGATATGAGGATGACACGATGACTAACGTGCAGATTTTAAAAAGAACACTCACTTCTCTCGGCCACGTCGAGCTTCATCCTGTTCCTTAGACTGGCGTCTTCGCTGTCTGGCGGATGTGTTGGAAGATGAAGATGAAGTCCCTGATTCTGATTCCTCTGAACTCTGACCTCCAGAACTATTAACATCGAAAAGATGCTGTTCCACAGCTGATCGAATGGTTCTCTCCAAGAGTCTGGTTAAAAAAAAAAAGAGTAATTAAAAAAATTTTTTAAAGCAATTGATTGTTTTGAAAAATACCTCCCATTTGAACCACATGGGTCATATGCTAGCATTAATTTCTACAGGAAGATATTAGACACTCTAGCACCAACCTGCCGTCACATCGATAACCCTGCTACGAGTTCGACACTACCATGGAAATGAAGGCTATTTCATTTTAATTAATTTTTTTCCTTCTTTTTTCTCTCTCAGTCAGAGGGGGACTATACCTAAGGGGAGGTATGATGGAAGTGCAGTGGGAATAAATACGTTCATAGGCAGAAAGAGAGAAGTATATCCCTGTACTTGTAGTACAAGGATGGAATACAGTGAAACAACAGGTAAGTCCCTACATCATTGGGAGACACCTCAATGACAGTATGATGGACTTCTGAGAGCACTGGGAAGACACCTGGTGAAAGACTGGGGAGGAGAACAATGAGGGGAGGGGGGAGAGGTGGGGAAACCCCAATGCCCATTAAACTGTGTCATAAAGAATTAAAAATACATGCCCATAATTTTCAAATTCTTTCAAAAATTTTCTTAGACATGCATGCCTAAAGACATGAGTTTGAGTATAAAAATATTTCCACTATTGGTTAAAAAGAAAAGCAAGCAACAGATTCCACTGGTTTGATTACTGTACTCTCACCCCTGTGAGTCCAAGATTAGTAAAATGCTCAGAGCATGACTAACAACAATTATGAGGCATTCAGGAAATAAGGGTCATTTAATACAGGGCAGAATAAGGAGAGATTTTTTTTTTCCTCATAGAATTATAATATGACCATTCACACAAAGGCGGATTTCCTCTCGGTCTCATATGGATCCTGCACAGGAAGGCAGCAGTCTGTTTGCAAGGCAAATTGGCACAAATAATTGTATGATACCTACAATCTATTTAAAATCCCTTTAAGATAAAATTATACAGGCAATCATCCATTTGGGGAAAAAAATAACTCACAAGAACAATTACAACTCAAAAACAACATTGCACAATCTTTCTTAACTTCTATTCAATTAAATTGTGGCGTACACAATAGAAGCAGTGATCATACAAATACTCCCCAAAGCACAGTACCAAAGCTGGAAGGATATACCTAGCCTGTTCAGTCTCGAGAAATGCAAGGAAGCACAAAGAGCTTGAAAGAATGCTTCGTGAGATATAAATGATGGCATTTATAAAGATTTATTCATTTTTACAGGAAAGTCAGGTTTACAGCGAGAAGGAGAGACAAAGAATCTTTCCATCTGGGTTTCCCATGTAGGAGCAGGGTCCCAAGGCTTTGGGCCATCCTCCACCGCTTTTGTAGGCCACAAGCAGGGAGTTGGATGGGAAGTGGAGCAGCTAGGACACGAACTGGTACCCATGTGGGATCCAGGCACATGCAAGGTGAGAAAGTTAGCCATTAAGTTACCGTGCCGGGCCTTGGTGGCATTTTTTACAGCTGCAAAATCTTTCAATGTGTCTAAACTCTTCTTTATCACCACCCTATTTACTTCTGAATATGCCAGTTGACAAAATTCTCAACTTGTACTCTTCATAAACTATGATTTTTTTCACTTGTAAAAGAATTACACACTTTTAAAAAAGATTTATTTTATTTTTATTGGAAAGTCATATCTACAGAGAGGAGAGGCAGAAAGATCTTCCTACTGTTGGTTCACTCTCCAGGCAGCTGCAACAGACAGAGCTGAACTGATACAAAGCCAGGAGCCAGCCGCTTCTTTGGGTCTCCCATGTGGGTGCAGAGTCCTAATGATTTGCGCCATCCTCTATTGCTTTCCCAGGGAAGTGCAGCAGCCAGGACATGAACCGTTACCCACATGGGATTCCAGTGCCCACAAGGCAAGGATTTAGCCACTAGGCTATTGTGGAGGGCACTACACACATTTTTTAAGTGTACAGTTTGAGAAGTAGCATTCTCCTCAACAAAATGGGTTTTAAGAACTTAGCGTAGTTTGTGTTTTCCAAATGCAGTTTTAGAACAGATTCATAATTATTTTATTAAAATTCTGTTGAATATATTTTACATCAATGAGCAGGTATAGTCCAATTGAGTGGGGCATCAAAACTTGCATATTTACAATCCTGTGCTCTACATGATTCAGGATTACCTAACAGTGCTACTAAGGGATGTGAGCTAATGGCTAAGTGTATTATAGACCAACATGCAGTCTCCTAAAATACAAGATGATTAGAAGGAAAGGCTTTTAGGAGACACAATAAAGCAAGAACATGTTAGTCTTGGCACAGCTCTGGGAGCTCCTTAGAAACTGGCAAAGATAAAGTTCTGTCCCCAATAGCTTCCTCATCCAACAAGGAAGAAAGAATCAAAATTCATTGTTGACATCCCAAACTCATTCCAATTCTTGCTTCTTCCACTTCTCTCTTTCTATTCATTCCCACCCTCTGCATCTCCTATACCCAAGTCCTGCCAAGTGACATACTCCAAAAAGACCTGTGCATGTCTCAACATGAAAGGAAGAAGCAGGTGTGAAGGCAAAGTCTTTGAGCAAGGAGCTATTCTTGTAGTCACCTGACAATGTTGATTTAGTAGCTAGAGTATGCCAGGTACCTTCTTAGGTGCAGGCAAGACAGCAATAACCCTAAGTGACCAAGGGTCATGTTTATGGAGCTTACACATTGCAGGACAAAACAGAACAAAGTAGATACTAAAACAGCAAATAATGGGTTGAGGAGGAAATGTGGACTGTTAGGGGTAAATTCCCAGACGAAAAGCCATATGAACAGAGTTGAGTGAGAAGAAAGTGCCGGCCAGGTAAGCAAAAGCCAACACAAAGGGACTGAGGCAGGGGGAAGTGTGGCCCATTCCTGGAACAGAAGATGGTGCAGCTGAGTGTAATGAGAATGGCGTTCAGGAAAAGCGGGAAGAGGCAGACAGTGAATTTAACTAGTTAAAGTTCACATGCAAGTGGAAGGCTAACAATTAAAAAGACATGAAATGGCCATAATAACAATTTCATCATCACCAGTTTGTACTCCTTTTATACTTTTTAACTCCCACAGGTAGAGCCCAGTGCTTTATTTGACAGGAAACTTCCAGTGCGTTTTTTGGCACACTGCAGCTACTCAGTAAACGCAGGTTCAGAGAACTGGACAAAGAAGTAAAGGCATGGTTAATACTTCAATGCCTAATTATAGTCTCCGCTGCAAGGAACCTTTCAAAGCAGAGACTAGTTTGCAAACATTGACTCTGACATTACTTTTAATCAAGTAAACAATAAGCTCATAGTTTTGGATAAGGAAGTTCTCTCAGGTCACACACTCACAGAGAAAGCTCTCACAGGACCATGTCTGATTCATTCCCATCCTCTGGACACAGATAGTTTAAAAACCACTGGCTGCTATGTATGCTGCTCTTCCAAAACTATACACCATTATAATCATTCTTTTCATGTTTAATAATCAGAAGAGGGCATTTAACAGAGCAGTAAAAATGTGACAACCCAACCCAACCCAAATAACTTACTCTCCAGTTGATGAAACGTTGCTGACTTGGGATACGTGAGCACTGTGGAAAAGAAACAGAGAACAAAGTCAAGTTAGACCAAGGATCAGCCACGGTGAGTCAAACACAGTGCCAGGTTAGGAGAATTAGCCAGGTTGCTAGTGATCCTTGCATGGGCTTAACCATCCCCACATAAGGGCTTACAGAGGCAGTCATGGTTCCGTATTGCTGAACAGTGGTTCCCCCCCACCCCCGTTTTAGAGCTTTCCATGGCAGACAGTTGCACAACTCACCTCAGAAAATCATCTCTTGGCTCTTGCCTTACTGCCAAAGTCCTGGTTAAAGGATCTTCCCATTTTGCTGCTGACTACCCTCTTGCTATGTGCTCTACGGATTTCTCTCTCTTCCCAGCCTAAATTCACTCCACCCCTTTGCCCCAAGCCTGCTTTAAGCTACCTTTCTGTTCCAAGTTGCTCAAGATGGAAACTAGTTCAAGTTCTATAAGTTCTTATCTCAAAACCCAATTTGCAACCCAAATGGCTGAGTGTTTATATACTCGCTGTTTTCCTGTTTTCTCAAAGCCCGAGTCTTCTGAAAACATGAGAAAGGGGCCAACGTGAAACAAATGATACAATCACAAAATGTTGACTGTTCAGAACACTCTCCCTTCTATATAATAATTTTAAGGAGGGTTGGGATCAGCAGTTGTATTAATTGTATTTGTATCATTCATACTTCACATTCTGCCCCCTATTGCCAGGTGGGATTTTGAATCAAGATTCAAAGGTGTCTATGTTTAAACAAAGAGGTTAAATATTGATATTTTGAAAAGGGGGGAAAAAAAGCAACCCAGTCATGTCAAACTAGTATTTTGCACAACAGTTTTCTCCTTTTTTCCCTTCTTTGGAGAAGGTACCACTACTGATGTCCATCTTTCAGTCACTGCAAACATCCTAATTACAGGATATAAATGCCAGCCCAGGAATGTGTTATTTTGGAAGCACCTGCCAGGTTTTTGTCTATGGAAAGTTCAGATCCTATCTGTTTCAGTGCAATCTGCAAGTGCTTCCGGGGACACTATGATACTTTTCATTTTTTCTCATCACATCCCCTCCCTCTGGTACTCCACTCTTATCACAATCATGTTATCACAGAGCTAATCACACACACTTAATTCTCTGACCCCAGATCATCTTCTTTAGTGAAAGCTATATCTCTTTTTCATGGTCACAGTGACCAAGACAATCAGATCCCAGAAAAACACACATAAAAGCATGCTGCTGTAGAGAAGGAAAAGAATCACTAAGTAAAGTAAAATAGCCTGACACTGAGTGCTTACCATGATTCAGAGCGCTGTGCTAAGTACCTGTTTATACAAATTCCTTCCTTTACTGTCCAGATGAAGATATTAGCATAAATCATGTGGACCCAAGAAACACAGGAGCTTGGATTTGAACCCAGAATGTTTTAATCTAAATGTCTAAACTCTTCATCATAACTCTAGCCCATCACTCAGAGAAAAAGTTACTGGAGTAATGTGGAAGCCTGGATTGGGGTTTTTCACTTTGTCTTTGATCACATTCATCTGTTTGGCTTCAAAGTGCCTGTTACTGAGAGCAGTCTGGGCTTCATAACCCACACCCAGCCCTCTGCTGCTCTCTGTCCTGAACTGGAACAGGTCGTGCCGGATTGTGGTGGTCTGTGGCTCACCCTCAGGGAACACAACACTGTATGATTAGCTCCCTGGCTCCATGTCTCAACACAGTTACACAAGCTTGGCTCTGGGAGCAAGGACCGCTGTTAATGGTGACTCAGAGGTGGGAGCCAGGGTGATCCTATAAAAGGGTGAAGAATGTGGGCCCGTCACATGCAAAACAGCATTCAAAGATACACCATCAGCCTGTCGGTCCATGCTCCAGGGCACAAGGATGCAGTATTCCTCTCTTCCTGTCCACGCACTTCACTTGTCCTCCCTTTGGCCAATGGCAAAAGATGCTAATATATTTATGTCTCATTTTGGGAAGCAGGAAAGGCAAAGAATGAAAGTGAGGAAGGCAGGGAAGCGGGCACAAATAGGCCCACACTTAGAGATGTGCATGTCTCCGAACAATGGCTTCTCAACTTCAGTGTGCACAGGTGTAAGGTTCCTGTAACACACACTCCGTGTTTTAGCAGGTCTTAGAATGAAGGCAGGGTCAGGTGGGGTTCAGAATTTCTAGGAAATTCCCTGGTGATTCTGATGCTGCTGGTGTGAGGAAGATGTTTAGAATAGCAAAAGCTGTAAATCCTTGCCACTAAAATTCTTCAAAACTTTATGATTGCTTAAATAACACAATGGCCATTTTAAACATTTCAATCTAAACAATGAAGCCATGATATAGAAAAAAAATACACGTTATCTTCAGTGAATAATAATTAATACCTCAATATCTCCCTTAAACCATAAAGAATCAAGACCCAAGCTGTTTGTATTAGGCAAATCTTTCTGGGGATGAAAAACAAACAAATCAGTAATAGTATCAAGTAATTAAACAATTACATTTTTTGGTCTATTAAATTTAGATCAGATTTATGATAAGTTTGTATCTTTGTTTTTAAATAGTCTTTTAAAATTTCCAATATATGTAACTTGTTTGTAATTGTCCATTCTTTCAATATAATTTCTAGAAAAAAATGTGCGATGAGCAGAAAATATGTTCTGTGAATTAGAAGAGTCCTGATCTGGGCTCTGCAAGCAATAAGCTGGAACCAGAGGCAAGCTGCTGGTTAACTTGGCTGCTTTGGCTGAGTTTCTTCATCCAGAAAATGGAAGGTTTGGCTTTTCACGTCTGTGGATTTCTTTTAGCTTTAAAAGTTTATGAAACAATCTCAAATTCCAGTTTATTGCACTAACATTGAAAACATCACAAAGGGTTATAATTGTATAGTCAGATTTACTGCATAGTATCAAATTTACACTTTATTAGACACCAATAACAGCTCTGGTCAGGAATCCTCCTCCATGTTGCTGTGGTATGTGCTTAACAATTCACCAAGAATAAAATTTCAAAAACCATTTCATGACAGTAATACGGACGGCTTCTGCAGCTGCAGTTGCCTGAACAAATGCTAAGACACAGATAAGAAGTCACTATAAGAGCTGTAACACAAGTGAAGAAGGTAAGCAATAACAGATCTCCTTCCATCTGCATGGTGCTTGCCTCTCATACAATGCAGACTCCTAACAAGAACACTTCAGGGTCCTCAGCGGACTTGCTAAAGAACTTCCCACTTACCCATTGTGAGCATGGATGTGGAAATGTCTGTTTCCTCAGGTTGGTAAAGCAAGCACTGGAATGGAAATGAGCTCACGTGCAAAGCCTGGCATTACAGTCAACATCATTAGCCAAACTTACTGTCAGTGATATCTGAAACTGGCTATTCTATTGGTGTGGTCATTTAAAATTCTAAGCCTACGCAGAAATACACTTGATGATATACTTAAACACCTTCAGTCTTTATCTCCCTTTACTTATGAAAAAAATTTTTTTTCCTTAAACCCAGATTTGGGCTGGTTTCTATTCCAGCTGCTTCACTTCTGATACATTCCCTCACAAATGGCCTGGGAAAAGCTGCAGAGGATAGCCCAAGTGCCTGGGCTCCTGCCAAATAGATGGATAAGGCTTCTGGCTTCAGTCTGATCCAGAGCCATCCATTGTGGTCTTTTAGGGGGAGTTAAAGATATTTAAACTTTGATAAATGTTGCAACATCCTCTTGTGGTGGCATTTAGCCGTTTTGGGTACAAAAACCCCTTATATTTTGGTCTTAAATTATATGCTCTGTGTGATACCAAAAAATAAATTGAAATCAGACTATATGGGGGTGACTCAGAAGAAGGAAAATATTTATCTTTCAACTCAAAAATTGTTTTTTCTTTAATGGCTGATAAAATTGAGATTCAGAGAGGTCTGGTGTCTTACTCAAATTACACAGCCTTGATTCCATCTACAGAGCTGGGCTGAGAGCTGACTCCTGTTTGCAGTCTTCGTATATATTCCTGAGGAATAAAAGTTTTTTTTTTCCTACTTGTTATGTGTTGATATTTTTATATAATTGAGTGTTAAGCTTATGATTGTGAAGTGAAAACATGCCATTTTAAAAATTAGAAAAAAAAAGAGAGGGAGTATGAGGAGAATGATGGTGGGTGGGCAATTTGGGCAGGAAGGAGGCAGGGTAGAAAGAATCAGTATGCTCCTATATGTGTGTCTTCAAATACATTAAATTTGCTCACTTTGATGCATGCTGAAAGAGTTCAGCTAAATAAATCCCATATAAAATGTTCTCCAATCTTCTAAAAAAAACTATGCCTTACACAAACTTCTGTTCTAATGACTAGCATTGTATCTGTTTTTCAAGTGTTCAATTGGAAGTGGGGCAGCCTGAGCTTTAACTATGCTACCTGGGCCCTCCCCACTCACGTGGGTATCATACCCACTGGGTCAAATACACTCCTGTTCAGCATTTCCAAGTAGCCTGCACTTGAGGTTCTTACTTCCTCATTGAGTTTGTCCTTTCCTCTGGCCTCTCAGGAGAGTTTTTATAGGTAAACTAGAATAATTTTTGTTACTAATATTATTGAGTTTTAAAAATCTCACCCTCAAAGGACTTTCAGAGATGAGTAATATTTTCTTGTGAAGTAATAGGTGTGTGCTTCAACCCCATTTGCAGGAGCCAAGGTTTAGTGCATGTGTATATGTACTCACTTATTCTAATTCTTTTTAACTGTATCAATTCCTCAGTGCTATGTATTCTGCCAACTTTGTTACATAGAGTTGTCTGTGTAGGTCCTGTACTATAAATGTCTTAAGTTGTTTCTTTGTTGATGTAACTTACACTTATATGATTTAATATCACTTGACATATACTAATTGTATCTTCACTATAGATTTGACTTCATATCTATTCGGTCCTTGAAATACAGTTGGTCTGATACAGCCATCTGTTTTTTCATATTTATCAAGTGTGTATGTATTTCACTAGTAACCTAGCTGTGCTGGTTTTGAACACAGCCATTTTTAAAGTA